ACCATCCAATTACGATAACATAAGAGCCATTGAACGAACAAGTCTAGCATCGATATATAAATGATATCAATACAATTTTGAGATAAGAAATGAACTCTTTATGGACCAGGTAATCAATTGATTGGTAGAAGAAATAACCAATTTCAAGAAATGTCGATGAAAATTATTATTGACAATGAATATTGGCATTTGAACTCATGCATAATCAAGTTTTGCTTATGTTTTGTTGTTTGCTTGTTTTCTAATTCTCATGTGTTATGATGGTTGTTTTGTCATGTAGTTTCCTTTTCTTTGTCATAAAAACTTTGCTGTTCTTCCTCTCTTTTTTTTCGCCAAGAGAACTTTTTCTTATGTGCTTTTGTGACAAGAAATGGCACACATATTAATACGTGAAACTATAAAGGACGTGCAATGAGGTAGAACCAAAAACAAAAACCCAAACTGTTGAAGAAGAAAACTTTCTTTATTTGCGGTTTTTTTGTTTTATTCCACTTTGCATCATTGAAATAAACAGAAATGGATGTTCGTTTATTGTTTGATTCTGGCATGAAATTGACTCTTCTACACCATGTTATGTGTATTAACAAGGAGTTGAGAAATTAATATTAAAACAATTTTAAACTGGGATTGAGAGTATTGCATGATTATTTGGACATAAGACGCAGTTTCTGATGTTATTCTGGATTATAAAGTTCTAGTAAGTTTCAAGGGGTTCCTTCAGGGGGAACCAGAAAACCTAAAAATGAACACAATTAGCTTTATCGAAGGTTCAAGTCTTAATTCTACAATGCAATGCAATTTATTCATGAACTCTCAAGACACAATCATGACCACATCTACATCATTCAATAAAATCAGCTAAAAAAAAGTTGAACAAACCCCAAAAAATAACCTTGAGTAATTCAGCCACTCCCCGCATCCATCCACTTTCTAATAATGAAATTGTTTTTCACATTAGCTCTGTTTAGAGCTTTCACATCAATACTTATGAAATTATCTCATGATATTGCAAAACTTTCAAAAACTCTTCATTCTTCTTGCTTTTTCCTCTGTTCACTCGCATGTCAAGAGTTTCTCTGACAATCCCTTAATTTGATTAGTTGTGTTGTTATCGTTAGCATATTGAACAAGTTTTGTGGAAGTACGTAGAAGTAAAAGGCAAGCATTCTTCTTTTTTCGATCTTTGTGTGCATCTATTGTGATGGAAACATTAGTGAATCTGGTTTGCATGATGAAATCATGGAATTTATTCTTTGTTATTTTGTTATTGATGTGAGTGGCATGTGGCAGTGTCTTCGAACTTTGTTTTATAAATTGTGGACGTCACTAAAGGTTGTTTAGATGGATAGTGACTTCAAATTGAGCTCTTTTGAACTACAACAATCAAATTAGCATTTAAGACTTAATTTTGGGCTTATTTTAAATGGGTATGTGAAATTTAAGTTATACCAAAGGTGATTAGTTCCAAAAAATACTATCACTTCATTCGAATACTACCTTTTTTGATGAGATTAGTACCTTTAGCCTACTGGAATGTCTTGAGCATTATAAAGACTATTGTCATATTAACAACAGTCTACATCAGCGTCTTCAACAATTTTTGGTCTGCGACTTACCTTGATAGGAATCCATGACAAATTGTGTGACTGAAGTTGACCGACGTGCTATCACCAAATGATTTGTAACCTTTACCATATTTTCGTAATAATGTCGTCGAGTTTCGTCAAGCAAACCCCGAATTTGATCATGCCTTCAAGCTACAGCAGCTTCAACTTTTGGGTATATTGCAGGCTGAACTGGGCTCGGAACAAAGTTGCAAGTGGTTCGGATTCCACTATAAAAACTGTAGCTCTAAAGGGAGTGGTACAAAAGTTTCTGTTCTAATTTGAATCGCAGTGCAAGCTTAAAAAAAGCTGAGCCTTTCCATGCTTTCCCTTTTTTGAGAATTGAGCCCATGTCCTCAATTAAATGAATAAGAAATATCCTATCAATTGTCAAACCTCTCAGCCATAAATGTTTTACCTTCGTACTGATAGATTTGACTACATATGGCTTGATTCTCTAGATTCTACTCTCTGAACCTGATTTAGAATAGAATGTTCTGTTGGACCATCCCAAGTCTCCTATGATAAAATTCCTATGTCCTTAATAAAGTCAATGAACCTCATTTCTAGTATATAAAATTCGAAAAGTATAAGCTCCCATACCAAGTCTCGAACCCATGATCCCTGTGTCGAAATTGCATTAATTAGGTACCGGAGTATTGAACCATTTCGCCACCCAAACACTTCAGGCCTTAAGATTGATCTGAAAAAAAAAAAACCTTATTTTTAAGTATCCATCCAGTTTCAATGCAAAAACCCACAACATATCGTTCATTATTCAAATAATAAGAGCATTTCGTTAACGTTTATAAATTATTATAAACATACATAGCGGAAAAGAGAGAAATAATTAAAATAATGACTGATTTATACACCTGCATAGTTATACAAAACAAAGTCCCTAAAGCATTAACATCAGTATCATAAAAGTACATCAAAATGAAGAGCAAGCGCAAACAGTTTATAAATTTATTGATGTGCAGGAGATGTGAGAGCTGGGAAAAGAATTATACACAATACACAATAAATTATCAATACATGAGAAATCATAGCGAGCATAAATTTATAATGATCACCAACTCACATTCCGTGTTTGCTTACTTCCATTCATATATTGCGTCATAATATTGAGGAATATTAAAGAGAGCAAGTCGAATATTATTTTTTTTTTTTATTTAATTTAACATAAATTTTACTCTTCTTTGATATAAAATCACGATAATAATTTTTTTTCTGCATTCGCTAGCATGTTGGAACAAGCATGAAAAAAAAATTATGCATCGCATGAGAGCATTCAAATTTATGTGAATCAACATGGAGGGAAAAGCTCATAGTGCAGCATAAAATAAAATAAAATTTGTTCTCATTTATTGCAAAGGTTTTCGTGGTTGACGTGGTGTGGAGGAGAATAATGCACAGAAAAAAAAAAACTTCAAGCTTCATCGTACTGACCTGCATATGAATTTTTCATACATCATGAAATGTGTACTCAATTTTGCATTCATTTCATATTAACTTTTAATTCTCTGACCTCTTTTTAATATACTTTACTGGTTTTTTGTGCTGTTGCTGTTGTTTTTTGCACCCTAAAATGCTATCGCTGATGAAATTTTGCGGATCTGTTTGTGCTGCTCGAAAAATGAAGAATTTTTTAATTGCTATGGATGTTGGTACGTTTGATTTCGTTCATTGCGAAGTGCCTTGCTTGAAATGTAAACATTCGATGTGGAAGCTGTGGATGGATTAAAATTTAGTAAACAAACTATGACTATTAGGACTCTTGTAAAGTCCATTAATGGATTAAAATTGTAAAGAAAACGAACGTTCTATGGTGTTTGATTTGTGATGTACATCATGACTTTTTGGGCTAGATGTAAGACTTGTAATTGATGGGATTCAATCAGATGAAATTTCAAACTCTCAGTACTCGTGATTTGAGGATAAATGTCTATAGATGCTAGATTCTAAGGCTCCCCGAGGCACTCTTGGTTGCAAAAAATATTTAAACTCTCAGTACTCGTGATTTAAGGATAAATGTCTATAGAGTCTAGATTCTAAGGCTACCCGGGGCACTCTAGGTTGCAAAAAATATTTAAACTCTCAGTACTCGTGATTTGAGGATAAATTTCTATAGAGTCTAGATTCTAAGGCTCCCCGGGGCACTCTAGGTTGCAAAAAATATTTTTTGACATATCTAAGCGATCTCTACGAGGACATAAATGTGCCGTGACACATAGGTTGACCATGAATATTATGGAGTATAAATCAGTTGTTGATAGAGACAGTAAAGCACTTGGTATTGGAAATTGGCAGACGGTAGCCAGCGATAAAACTAGTTATAGGCGTCAACTAAGGGAGCTCATGGATTACAATTGATCTGTACGACCAGCAAAGTAAGTAAGTTTAAATCAGTTGTATCTGAGATCAGGGGAACCTTAGAAACTGGCCCCAGAATCAAAGTTTTAGTTCAAAGCCTTGCCATACTCTCTCAGAAATGCTTCATATAGCTTAAGGGGTTCTGAGATTTTATGACAGCACAGATAAAAACTACCCTGAAAAAATTTCTTCATACAAATTTACATGCAAAAAGAGGGGGGGGGGGGGGGGGGGGTATTACGCGTTACATAATAAGTGTAGATGTGTTGTTCATCACTAAATAGTAAGCAGCCTTAAAGAGTCAACAAACGAGAATATTTCATGTGGTAAAGTGCACTCTCTGTCCATAATCCTCTGTAAGACTGAAATTAAAATTCACTCCTCAGCTACAAACTTCCAATAAACCCCTCAATTTCAGAATCAATCATAAATTGAGCAACAACAGAAGCTTAAACCCTGTCAAATCAAGTCAAATTGTCATGTCAATTTCAAACATTTTTTTCATAGTATCCGTATTATATTACAATGTCAAAAATCAGAATGGGGTGAAAAGAGGAAAATAAAGGAAGAGAGTAAGGATCAAATTTGCAAAATATAAAGAAGAAAATGGTGAAAATGAAAAAGAAATAGAAGAGATTTGGATAAAATGGAAATGCTTATGTAGGCTTTCTACTTCCATACATACAACCAGTTATCATACGCATATTCACAGGGAGAATGTAAAAGGAAAAAAAAAGGATAGAGGACGACAAACGATTGTGAAGGAGATAACCCAAAATAACACGAAAAGGAAAAAAAGTTCATATTCATAAAGATGGAAATATATCTCATAACATGTTACTTGTTGCGATCAAAGTTCTGTGAAATAAAAGTAAAGTTTAGAGGTTCAATCGAGTCAAGACTTTTTTGAAGCGCATTGAAATAATCGCAGGAGGCTTTGAAAATTTAATTCATAAAATAATTTTTCTTTCAAAGTTACCTTTGAAGTTGAACTTTTCATCAAAATTTTTCATTCATCAAAGATCTTTCAACAAAATCTCATCGATTCTTCAAGATCTACAGTATATATTTTAAAATCTTGCACGAAGTAATGGAATCATTCACTTTTATGGAAGCAGAAGCTTTAAGTCAAGAAGGTAATTTATTATTTGATATTTAAAATAAACCAAATTTCAACATTTTTCAATAATTTTCAGCTGACAACAAAGAGAATTCTGAATCAATGCAAGTCAACTCATCTGCATGTGAAATCTGCTCGCCATCATTAAGAATTGAATATACGAATCAAGAGCCAGCTGAAGAAATGCAAGATGCTGTGACATCTAGACAATCTCGTAGTTCTACAAGACCACGAAATACAATTACATTTTCTGATGAACTGTTCGTAATGCCAGCACCACCCAAAAGAAGTCGATCAACAAAAAAAAGTCGTGGATCATCTCATGGTCGAGCAGCTTCTGGAAGTCGTAAAAGCCCAAAATCAAACAGCCGTCAACGAAATCGTTCTCGTTCAAAAAGTGCATCTAAGCGCTTGACAAGCAGTCGTGGTAGACGTTCATAGGCTGTTGAAAATTGTAGCATTTTTCGGATATTGATATTTTGATTAAAACTTAATCTAAATTCACAGTAAGTTTAAACTTTTGAATTTTTTGAAGAATATTACAGGAGTTGGTTTCTGAAGCTACCCGTAGCACCCTATCCTAGTTTCAGATAGCTCAAGAAACCAGTCTCAGGACTCACAATGTGACATAATGTGAACGAAGTCACAATACCCTTGCAGAAATTTACTAGTAATTTTCTAGTAATTTACTGGATAACTTTCCATTTGCTACTTGCAATTTACTAGTGAAAAATGACTAGTCAATGATTTCCACGAGTTCTTTTTATTTGTGTAAATTATTGTAAAAGTATTAGTGTGTACTTAGTCAAAGTACACTAACACTATGAAAAAAAATAAAAGACTTAATTTAATTAAGTCGAACACTGATGAAAGCCCATGTCTCGCACGCGAACCTGAGGAAGATAAATAATCAATTGAAAGTCACATACAAATTTAGATCGAGCTTATAAAGCTAATTTCTGCGCGCTCTTGTGAAGTATATGGCAAAATGCTAAATTTAGAACAAAATTTTTTATGACGCAAAAATTTTTTTTGATGATTTTTTTAAGGATTCGAACTTAAGCAGATTTGATCAAACATTTCACATGGTAATTTGCTATTAATTTGCTATTAAATATCAAGTGTAATTTACTAACAGTAAGTTGTTTTAATAATTACCACATGCTACGGACATTTCAGAGTCGAATATTTTCGATATGTTTGAATTTAGTCGACCTAGTGTTTAAATATTTTAAAACCGTTAAAAGTTTGTCAATTTTAGGATTTTGAGCATTAATATTTAATTTCTAGCATTTTTCTTGGATGATTTTAGCTAAACTTAGCTAAACATGAAGCTAAGAATAAGAATCGTTTGCCCAAGCCTTGGTTTTGCCAGTGTTTGCAAGAAATATTCATGGAAATTAAACGGTTTTTTGAAATTCAAAGCAAAAAATAACGGATTTTTCGACGTGTCCGTAGCATGAATTACCAGAGGTCGAAGCGAGCATAGCGAAGCGAGTTTTTAGCGAGTTCGCTTCGCTAAAAATTCAACTTGCTAAAGTCGACCTGTAGCGAGAAAATTTTTTTTCTTTTCGCCTTGGCGAACTATAGCGAACTCAATTTTATTTTTTTCGCTTTAGCGAACTGTTAGCGAACTTAATTTTTCAAAGTTCGCTATAGCGAACTATTGGCGAACTAGAAAAAAAATTTTGGCTTCATATAAAGAGATGTCTGATTGCGTTTGTGAAGTATGTAATTTCATACAAAATTGCAAAAAATTATAGTTCGCCAATAGTTCGCTATAGCGAACTTTGAAAAATCAAGTTCGCTAATAGTTCGCTAAAGCGAAAAAAATAAAATTGAGTTCGCTAAGGCGAAAAGAAAAATTTTTTTCTCGCTACAGTTCAACTTTGGCAAGTTGAATTTTTAGCGAAGCGAACTTGGTGAACCAAGTTCGCTTCGACCTCTGATAATTACTAGTAAATTGCAAGTAGTATATTAGAAAGACTAGCAATTTGCTAGTAAGTCTCGCTAGGGATAGCTTTGATTACTTTTACCCAATTTAATTACAAATATGCTCTGACATTACAATAGAACTTAATATATGGGCGATTCTACGAATGATTTTTTCTACAAATTTGTCTCCAAATCTATATTTCTCTTTATCAGTTGCATTACTCTCTATGTTTCATGTATTTAATAGTAGATTTTACCGATATATACATATTGTTCTCACCCAAACATATTAAAAATGCTTAATTAAAGAATTATTTACATTCTACGAAAAAATACTCTGTTTCACATGAATTTTTTCGCCCAAATTTTCAAAATGTTTTCATTAATCCACCTTAAAGATAGGTGGTAAAATTTCCAGTAATACTAAGTATACAAAGTTATAGCTTAAAGTAAAAGCTTCAAAACGATGTCAAAATCATATTTGTGGAAGCCTTAATTAAGCTGCAATTTGGATTCTACGAAAATTTCATAAGTGAAACAGAGTAACTTGGAGACAATTCCAAAAAAAAACTACCAAATATTAAAATTAAAACCATGAATTTCTCAAGCCATAGCTAAGTAATTTGAGTGCAGATGGAATCATAATTCACAGTTTAACCAATAGAAAAGGAAATGAGAATTAGATTTTTGAAAAACTATGCACAAGTGAAAATAAAATAATTGAAAAATTCATGCAATTGACACGGATTATTTTCATGAAACCTTTTCGTAGATTGCCCATATTGAAACTGAGTTCACTTCATCGACTTCGAAAAGTCCACAGCCCTAAAACTTGCCATAAAACATTAGCTGACTACTCATCCAGACAAACAAAGCAGCTCACACATCCTTTTTCTAAAACAACTCAACCATAAAAAGTTAAAAAAAAAAGAAAGAAAAAAAATATTTCAACCAGAAATAAAGAAAAGTTTGAAGGAAGGAAACTTTATGTTCGTGCACATATGTTTATCGACCTTATCTTCATCATAATATGAATCTATGGTACCAGCAAAGGCTAAAGCTTTATGATAATAATAACATGAAGTGTACTTCAAATGTATGGGGGAAAATACATACAGAATATTTAAAAGGCATAGGAGGATATACGTTTAATTTAAGATTCAGTTTTGATAAGAATGTTTCTCTAATGAAAAATTCTCTGAGAAAGGCAAAGAAGAAAATTTTCTTCCATATTTTTTTGAGATAAAAATAAAAAGGATTTTTTTTTTGTTTTCCCTTGCGGATGTTCTTAAAAGAACAGCAATTCAAAAGTTATGGCAACCCACACGCTTGTTGTTGACATTAATTTGACCTACATATTACTACCGTCATTATCAGGAGCTGAATAATGTACTTATGGTTCCATAGAAACCACGAAAAAGAGAAGTTTATGATAATTAATTGAAAGTACTGGGGGTCCTCGATTTTAGGAGGTGTTTTGTTCCAAAAAAATCCTATTCAAATCGAATTATTTACTTTTTGTATGAAGAATGTCCGTTGGAATTTTTTTTTTTTAAATTTTCTATTCATTAATTCTCGTTACTCAAATCGAGGACCCATAGTAGTTCATTCTTTTGTATGGGATTTAAACTTATGGATTAGTATAGGATGTCAATCTTCATAGCTATGATCAGGATAGTCACTTTGCAGCATCCCAATTAAGCAAGCTATAGCGAAATAGGTAGAATTTCGAAGTAATCCAGTGTTGTCTATTTTATATTATGTCCTAATTTTGAAACAAAATATCGACAGTAAACCCAGACCAGTGGTTCTCTTTGAAACCACAGAAAAAAGTATAACTCCGAATAACGGATCCCGAGCGGGACTCGAACCCACGTCCTACGATTTCGGTCGCATGCTTCTACCACTGAGCTATCGGAGGTTAGGCGACTGTAAAGCTAAATTCCATATATAAGTTACACTCTTTTTACTGTTCGCTTGCACCACATGATTTATCGTTGACTGGCTATTACATGGAATCGCATATTCCAACACTTAAACTGTGTGCTGCGAAAAAATTCGATTGCTGAAATTGACACTTTATTTTCATGTTTTATGACTTCAAAGAAGTGTGTTGTAAGAAAATGTGTTGTGGACCAAAAAGTTTGAGAAACACTGTACCAGACACTAATCATCCAATAGCTCTTCATTTTTCATAATCAGATTTAAGTCTTATTGCAAGGATCCACTTAAATACGGTATTATGAAATAAATCCAAATTTTATACTCGTTTCTAGTGCTTTTTATGCCTCTGGCACAATATTCAATTTTGAAATCCTTTACGATATGATATCATGTGTGCGATATGAAGACGAAATATACAAAAATAAAATGAGATGAGTTTGATATTTTACATACACATGCTCAAGGGTATTAAGGTCTTGCAATTTTAGAATTTAAACAATTTTTGAGATTATTTCTGTGGTTTTAAAGCATACATTTTGTATCAATAAATTTTAATTTCCTAATTGAGACGATAATCCTTGAATATGTTTATCAAATTTTATACTTACTGATATTTGCATATGCTGTACTGTACACAAAATTCCTTTAAGATTCTCTCATTGCACAATACTTTGAATTTGCATTCAATAATCAAACATTAATCTTGTTTTTGGTTCACCGCATCTTGCAGTTTATAGGATATACAATATGCATAAGAAAATGCAAAATTTATTTATTGAATATATTGCTTTACGGCGATGCTGTAGTATGGCGATAGCAAGGAGCTTGAAAATAAGAAGGAAGAAAATGAAATTTGCTTTAAAATTTTAAATAGTTTTATTTATAGCACTCGTGAGATGCATTCATTCTGTACCTTGACTGATTCTAAAGAGTTTTGTACGTTAAGCTTTTCTGATTTTTAGAGTGGTTTTAAAAGAAAGTTGGGTTGTTGTCGATGGCTTGTCGATTTATGAGAAAGGGAGAGATTTAAGGATGCAAAAATTAATCTAAGTGTGGGTTTTCAAAAAGATGCAAAAGAATTTGTGGGGTTTTCAAAAAGATGCAAAAGAATTTATAAGATTTTTAAAGGGATGCAAAGAATTTGTGAGGTTTTCAAAATATGCAGAAGAATTTATAAGGTTTTAAAAAGGATGCAAAAGAATTTGTAGGGTTTTCAAAAAGATGCAAAAGAATTTATAAGATTTTTAAAGGGATGCAAAGAATTTGTGAAGTTTTCAAAATATGCAGAAGAATTTATAAGGTTTTTAAAAGGATGCAAAAGAATGTGTATGGTTTTTAAAAAGATGCAAAAAAATATAGGGTTTTTAAAAAGACGCAAAAAAATTTGCAAGGTTTTCAAAAAGATGCAATAGAATTTAAAAGGTTTTCAAACGGATGCAAAAGAATGTTAAAGATTTCTAAAATATGCAAAAGAATAAATAAGGTTTTAAAAAGGATGCAAAAGAATTTGTAGAGTTTTCAAAAAGATGCAAAAAATTTTGACCAGTTTTGACAAAGAAGACACCAAAAATATTCCCAAGAAGCAACTC